ACGCACCGAATTAGCAACCACCGACTCACCACGTGTGGTATCATCACACTTCAAATCACCACGCATTGGATTACCACATGTGGAATCACCAAGCATTGAATTATCACGAATCGATTCAGTACATACCGAATAACTTGTGTTCAACCACTACAAACTGAATTACCAAGCAGAATTCTATTATTTTTATATAATTTTTAAATTCTCAAGACATCCCCATTTCAAAATATCCACAATACTCCAATAACAGGTGTAGTGAAAGGTTGTATACTTTATGAAGTAACATGAATTACATGAGTAATTATCAAATGTAAGTCTTAATTTAACAAGTCTGCCAATAATAAAACATATTGCACCGTAACAGGTAAATCGCGAAGGAAGTCTAACAGAGCGGAGAAAGCCAAGACTACAGTATTAGACTCAGTAAGAGCGTACAAAATGACTTCCTGATGCTCGCTCGGCTGTCTGCGCGATAGATAATTAATGTTATCTTCGTGCGATCTCGAGCGATATCTCATTAATGACATCCGACGTTTTCTAATTGCATCGCGTCGATCGGTTTTCCTTCTTTCCGCATAATTTCTCGCCGACGAAATCCTATCGCGTTAAATTAATGAAACGGCTCGAAGCTAGATTGAAGTTTTCGATCGAGTGAACATTTGTCTTTGTACCGGTAACTGACTGTCGGATGCAGAACGTTGCTTTCACGATTGTTCGAATGAAATTTCGGCGGAGATTATTGTGGATTAAATTTTAGTTCGCTTGATTGGAGAGTGAGGTGCAACGTTTCTGGAGTGCAGTGGGGAATTGTTAGGGGATGTTTAGGGGGTTTTATTTTGGAGCTGTGGATTTGAGCGTGTTATATGGGGAGATTTGGAAAATTGGAGAAGAGGAGTTTTAAGAAATTAGAAAATTGAGAATTTGGTGTTTTGGAATTTTGGTAATTTGAAATTTTGGAATTTTGGAATTTTAGAAATTTGGAAATTTGGAAATTTGGAATTTTCGAAATTTGGAATTTTGGAATTTGGAATTTTCGAAATTTGGAATTTTCGAAATTTGGAATTTTGGAATTTTGGAATTTTGAAATTTTGGATTTTCGAAATTTGGAATTTTGGAATTTGGAATTTTCGAAATTTGGAATTTTCGAAATTTGGAATTTTGGAATTTGGAATTTTCGAAATTTGGAATTTTCGAAATTTGGAATTTTGGAATTTGGAATTTTCGAAATTTGGAATTTTCGAAATTTGGAATTTTGGAATTTGGAATTTTCGAAATTTGGAATTTTCGAAATTTGGAATTTTGGAATTTGGAATTTTCGAAATTTGGAATTTTCGAAATTTGGAATTTTGGAATTTGGAATTTTCGAAATTTGGAATTTTCGAAATTTGGAATTTTGGAATTTTGGAATTTTGAAATTTTGGAATTTGGAAATTTGATAATTTGGAAATTTGGAAATTTGGAAATTTGGAAATTTGGAAATTTGGAAATTTGGAAATTTGGAAATTTGGAAATTTGGAATTTTGGAAATTTGGAATTTTAGAAATTTGGAAATTTGGAAATTTGGAATTTTGGAAATTTGGAATTTTAGAAATTTGGAAATTTGGAAATTTGGAATTTTGGAAATTTGGAATTTTAGAAATTTGGAAATTTGGAAATTTGGAATTTTGGAAATTTGGAATTTTAGAAATTTGGAAATTTGGAAATTTGGAATTTTGGAAATTTGGAATTTTAGAAATTTGGAAATTTGGAAATTTGGAATTTTGGAAATTTGGAATTTTAGAAATTTGGAAATTTGGAAATTTGGAATTTTGGAAATTTGGAATTTTAGAAATTTGGAAATTTGGAAATTTGGAATTTTGGAAATTTGGAATTTTAGAAATTTGGAAATTTGAAATTTGGAAATTTGGAAAATTTGGAATTTTAGAAATTTGGAAATTTCGAAAATTTGGAATTCTAGAAATTTGGAAATTTGGAAAATTGGGAATTATGGTAATTTGGAAAATTTGTGAATTTTGGAAATTTGGCAATTTCAGAATTTTTGAAATTCTCAAATTACAGAATTTGAAAACTTAAAAGTTTGAAAATACACTCATTTTTCAGAACTAAAGAACTTAATTTATAAATTCGAAAATTCGCACATTGAAGAATATAAAAATTTGCACATTCATTTCAGAATACGTATAAAACAAATTACAAACAAATACATTTTCAACAACTCTTTGTAAGTAAATTACTGAAAAATTATTCTTTGTCGTTTATTAAATTCCAAAGGATCGATAATCACAATATGTCAGTGACTATAGCATTTTCATTATCGTTTTAATTGAAAATACACGCGCAAACACGTCGATAAATGTAAACAGAGGTACGTTCAATTACTGTGTTATTTCTGTGTTATAAATTATTATCCCAACATTTCTCATCAAGCGTTGCTTTGATTAGCTATAAATTAATACAATTCATACTCCTCTTGCAAATTAATTGCTGTTTACATATATATTTCTTTTCCTTTGTGTTATATTTCAATCTATTCTTTGGGTGATACTCCGTATAATTATTTTTTAATGAACATGTTAGTCTGTTAAATGTTTTATTGAATATTTGCAAAATATTTTGTTAAATATTTTGTAAAATAGTAATGCATTTTGTTAAATATTTTCTGGGATACTTTTGTAAAATATTAGTAACATATTTTGTAAAATATTTAATTTTGATATATAATGCAACATATTTTATTAATTATTTGTACAAAATTTTTCAAGATATTAATAATAAATTTTGTCAATTATATTCTGAAATATTTTGTAAAATATTAGTAATATATTTTATAAAATATCTGATGAAATGTTAATAACAAATTTTGTTAATTATTTGTAGAATATTTTATTTTCTTTATAGTACTATAAAGCACTCCCATTACTGTCTACAAAATATTTTGTTAACAATTTGCAAAATATAATTGACAATTATTTATAAATTATTTAAAAACAATCTTTAACAGTAGACATCATTATTTCATTAAACAGGGAAATAAATTTTCTTAAAACAATGTACATTAACAACAGCTAAATTTCATTCAAATATTTTTAAAATAAATGTCAAGCAATTAGTGCAAACATTTTTGTATGCTCTCGTTAAAAAACGTTTCTGCAATATCTTTGTTAAAAATGTTTATTTCACGAAGTGAATGGTGTTCCATTTTAATATACTGCAACATGTTTTTTTACAACTGTAACTAGAACGTTCTCACAACATCGTTCTAAGATCAGCTACAAAGATATAGTTGCAAAGCTGTGGAAACATTGAAAGACTCTTTGAGAAGATACGGCTTATGACCCAAAGCCTCGAACTGCTTCAATAGTCAGAATCGAGGTCACGGAAACATGAGGAGTTTAACATTTTCTGTTGTTTTAATGTCACCCCTTTGCACAATAGCGAAAATGAACTGTCAGATTAAGTATATAACAATGTTATTTTAGAGTGAAGGTAAAATCTGTTAAATCCTTTCTTACGTCTCTTTTTTAATTAAAGAGATATATTTTAACAGTAAACACACTTTTGATACAGAAAGTAAGAGACAGCTTGACAAATTTAAAGATTGATGAATAATTTGAATATAGTTATTAATTCGTAAATAATGATGGATTACCACGCGTTGAATTATCAGGCGCTGAATTACCACGCGTTGAATTATCAAGCGCTGAATCACCACGCATTGAATTACCACGCATGGGTTACCACGCGTTGAATTACTACGGGGTGAATTACCACGCGTTGAATTACCACGCGTTCGACTACCAAGCGTTGAATTACCACGCATTGAATTTCCACGCGTCGAATTACCATGCGTTGAATTACCACGTGTTGAATTACCACGCATTGGATTACCACGCATTGAATTACCACGCGTTGAATTACCACGCGTTGGATTACCACGGGTTCGACTACCAAGCGTTGAATTACCATGCGTTGAATTACCACGCGTTCGACTACCAAGCGTTGAGTTACCACACGTTCGACTACCAAGCGTTGAATTACCACGCATTGAATTACCACGCGTTGGATTGCCACGCGTTCGACTACCAAGCGTTGAATTACCATGCGTTCGACTACCAAGCGTTGAGTTACCACACGTTCGACTACCAAACGTTGAATTACCACGCATTGAATTACCACGCGTTGAATTACCACGCGTTGAATTACCACGCAGTGGATTACCACGCATTGAATTACCACGCTTTGGATACCCACGCATTGAATTACCACGCGTTGAATTATTTGATGTAACAACTGATAAATCATGTTTTATGTTTGTTGAGTGATTCATAAATAATGTAATACGTCATGGATTATTAAAATTTTATAATTCATAATTAATTCAACAGTTGATGATTAATATTTTACATTCATTCAATAATTCATAAGTAATTCAATAGTTGATGAATAATTATTTAAAATTTGCTCAATAACTCATGAATAATGTAATTATTGTTGAATGATCAAAATTTGTGTAATTCATACGAAATTCAAGAATTGATTTAATAATCAATGCGTAATTCAAAAATTTAATAATGGAAGAGTAATTTCACTGTTTGAATATTTAATGAATAACTTTAAAATTGGTTTAATAATTGGTGAACAAAAATTGCTGTAATCAATAATGAGATAATTTATTGAATAATTCATGAGCTGTAATTTATCAGCATTTTTCATCCGAATAATTTAAAACAATTATTTGAAGCATATATTCAAACACTTATCTTATTTTGCAAATATTAAGCAGCTGAAGAAAAAACATTTAACAAGAAAGTTACGTAAACAGCAATATTCAATAGCTAGAATAACACGTTCAATTAATGTAGTGAAAACTAGTTTGCAGGTTGTACACACGTAAAGTATGCCTGGTTATTCATGAGGGTTAGATAATTGACTATTAATTGGTGGAATTAATCGCGCCTACGTGGATCGTGTAAACCGCAAATTGAATTAAAACGCAAACTCACCATCCCCTCTACTCTCCTCGATGTCAAGAATAATATTGGATTGTCCTGACTCCACCTCGCACAAGGCTGAAACAAATTAACAAAAGATATCGTGTTTATATCTCATGTGAATTCAATCTTAATATCTATGACTTAACTATCGCATACTTTCATTATAATACATTATGCAATATGTAGTTCTTTGTACTGATGTTATGTCTTCTGATACATGTGACCAAATTTCTTCACATCTTTCTTATTGTAAATTGCAAAATTGTTTAAGACACTTTTTTTGAATGCTCGTTAACTTTTATGGAGACGAAGAATTAATGTGTACTCTATAAAAATTACTTTTTTATTTAAATATTTCATTCGCTCTCAACCTCTAAATGATTATTTGAAATGATTAATAATAAAATATTATTAATAATTTATACAAAAACTTCAAACTTCATGACACAATGTTTTTTATATTTATATCTTGTCAATCAATGTTAAATACTTTTCTCTTTTTACTCCAACTCATACTCTCAATCTCAAACCTCATTCAGAGTTCAAAGCAATCTCTCACACATACACATTGCTATGTGAGTCGACCACTTTGCTGATCGATATTTCAAACAAACTTCTAATCACAATCTGTTTCACGGCCTATTGACATTTGGCAAGGAGAAAATAACTTTGATACTACGTGCAAGGTGCTTTAAAGATACAATTAGGTTTCCTTTGAAATTGTAATATCATGCAGGTGTATGCATACAGAGTATCTTGCAAACTTGTTATCCCATGGAATAGCAGGGAAATTTGACGATGCATCTTAATGATTTTACCACGCGTTGAATTACCACGCGATGGATTACCACGCGTTGAATTACCACGCGTTGAATTACCACGCGATGGATTATCACGCATCGAATTACCACGCGTGGAATTACCACGCATCGAATTACCACGCGTCGAATCACTACGCGTCGAATTACCACGCGTCGAATCACCAAGCGTCGAATCACCAAGCGTCGAATTACGACGCTTCGAATTACCACGCGTCGAATCACTATGCATCGAATCACCACGCATCGAACTACAACGCGTCGAATTACCACGCGCTGAATTATCACGCGTCGAATTACCACGCGCCGAATCACCAAGCGTCGAATTACCACGCGTCGAATTACCACGCGTCGAATTATCACGTATTGAATTTCCACGCATTGAGTTACCACCCGTCGAATTACCACGCCTTAGTTGTCCACGCATTGAACTACCAACCAGCGAGTCACCACACGTGGTATCATCACACGTCAAATCACCACGCATTAAGTTATCACGAATCGGTTCATTATATACCGAATAACTTGTGTTCAATCACTATAAACTGAATTATCAAGCGGAATTCTATTATTTTAGAATAATTTTTAAATTTTCAAGATATCCACAATACTCCAATTAAAATAACATCTACATCCACTTTTCACAAACATTTTAATAGCAGCGAGATGCCAGAAATTTTCAACTACCAAGTCCCGTTTTTACGATTCCTACCCAACGATTACATTTACGACCCCATTCTTCTTTTACGACTAGTTCACCAAGTACACAACTGTAAACCGAGCGATTCAAATTTATCGATCCGATACCACAGATTTTAATTTGCAATTTTTACACCGTCGCACAATAAATGTACCGAAATAATTATGGTGCACGTTACAAGTACTTAATTACCGTCCACAACGCGGTCCAACTTCTTTCCTTGATCTTAGTTTCAATCTCGGTGCTTCCGATTTAAAATTCACTGAGAAAGTTCTCTCGACGTGGCTCGAGCAGGTGCAAGAAATCTGTCTGACCGGAAACGTGACTCAGCGACGCAAAACGCTCACTTTGAAGGAAAAGATTATGGGATTACAGTGTTTGTGCATACAGTTCGTCTCACGATATCTGTCCGCTTGAATGTCTTATTTGGTACATGAGAAATTTGCGGAAGGTAAACTAGAATAAAATTCTGTGATAGACTTTATAATATGATATGAATTTAGATGGAGTCAGTAAATGGAGGAGCAGGGTTTCTTTATTCTTTTTAAAATGTAAAGTTACCTTCAATTTTATTAACTTCTTCAATTATTATTATTATTATCGTTAATTTCGATAGATTTACGTATTCCGAGCATAAAGGTATTCGGGTATATTTGTCTTAAAACTTATAGTTGCTGAGATATTTGACTTTCTGCGAGAAGTCACAGAATGGCCACAGTCATTCAAAATGGCCGTTATGCGCAGCTCGGATGCGCGTGAGCGAATGTTCTATGATTAAAAATGAAAATAAAATATTAAATAAAATGAAACATTTCAGTGGTTGTTAGGAAAAATGCATTTTAATTTTCTTACAAATTGAACTTAAAGAATTAAACATTCCATTTAAACAAAAATTCTATATATTTCCTACATTTGCAAAAATATCATTTAATACTCATTTTGTAAGAATATCATTGATAAATATTATTTGACAATTATGAAATTTCACAGTATGCCTCTTGAAAAGTCGCAAGGTAATACAGAACTTCTCAGTAAGAAATATTTTCTTGCGTTGTTTAGAAAACCAAGACGTGGACACAGTTTGTGAGACACGCTGTATAAGGACGACAGCTTACGACAAGCGCCAGCTGTTGAACGCCGCCATTATTCTATTTTTATCACAGTTTAACGATCCACCACATTAATCGAGATGCCCGCGTAATAGCAATCAAATCGTAATAATCTAGCTGAAATTTCACGCGCGAGAAATATCGAGGGTGGTTTAAATCTTACGAGAAAATCGTTTCAGTGCTTTCGCGAAAACGTACCAGTTATACAGGTTCTGGTTATGATTTCGCTTTAAATAGACGTGAAATATTTCTGTCGAAATAGATCGAATAAGATATAAATATAATCAGCGTAAAATAAAATGTTCTGTCACTTTATAATTTGCTATGTTGTTTGCTGTCATAAAATTTATTATACAGAGAGGTACACCCATCAAAGTAAATATGAAACAGCTCTCAAAATAAATATAAACCCCAACTACCAGAACAGGTAAAAAACATTACTAAAAATATAAAAATATTACTATAAAAACTGCTATAAAAATATTGCTACCAAAGCTAAAAAGAATGATCATCAAAATAAATATCAAACACAAGTACGGAAATAAATATAACACAAAACAGAGGAATACAACCATCACGAAGCATAAAAAATATGAAATAAAAAGAGACGATAAAACCTAACAGTAAAGAACAGCGAACATAATCGAGCAGGTGCAGCTATGCAAACCGTTAAACTTCAAACCCCATACGGAAGACACGTGCTAAGGGTAAATCAAGAAGGCGTATCGACTGGACGAATGATCAGCAACAGGATACGAGTTGATCGCATGCCATACAGCTTCCTTAATAATTCACACGAGCATACTGCACCCTAGAACCTCGCGAGTCTTACGAGTGTTCTCACCTGACACCATAAGGTCACGCGAGGTCTTCAGACGAGGAGAGCACAAAAGGCACGTTCCTTACGAACGCGTGCCTCTGGCTACGGTCTTTCTGTAAAAGGTTAACGTCGATCGTTAATGGCGTACGAAGATGCGCCGCTCCTCTACGATAAAACTGATTCTCTTCGTCGCGACGCTCCATGACATTTCGCCGTACGGTTTACCCACTTGCTGCATCCGGGCCGCGTTCAGTGGCGTAACTAACGTTTTAGAGTCGGGAGAGAAGGTTTGGATAAGTGTTTATGATTGCTTTTTATGTTAGGGTATGATGGATGAATATATGCTATATAATCGCTGGGTCGTTATACATATAGGGGTTGGGGCGTTATGAGTTAGTGAATGATGTGATTCATATGTGATTTCAGAACGCGTATGTTAGTAGGGCATGTTAGTAGGTTATAGATCGAATTATGATGTTATAGGTCACCAAGCATTGAATTACCACGCGTTGGATTACTACAAGTTGGATTACCACGCGTTGGATTACCACGCGTTCGATTATCAAGCTTTAGATTGCCACGCACTGAATTACTAGGCATTGAATTACCACGCGTCGAATTACCACGCGTCAAATTACCACGCGTTGAACCACCACGCGTTGAATTACCACGCATCGAATCACCACGCGTCGAATTACTATGCATCGAATTACCACGCGTCGAATTACCACGCGTCGAATCACTATGCATCGAATTACCACGCGTCGAATTACCACGCATTGCATTACCACACGTCGAATTACCACAAATTACCACGCGTCGAATTATCACGCGTCGAATCACCAAGCGTCGAATTACCACGCATCGAATTAGTGCGCGTTGAATTAGCGCGCGTCGGATTACCACGCGTCGAATCACCACGCGTCGAAT